TACATCGATGGTTATCGTAATTTTCAACCGAGGTGACTATAGCATGGTACTAGTTTTAAGCTTAACTTGTTCTCATTTGTTTGACCGGAGTTTTAGCAAAGCGTTAGTTTCAAACTCTCTGATTACGGTTTAAGCCATCCTTGGGGATACAGTGTTCATGACCTGTTCGAAGACTCGTTCATGGATTTGAAGTATCCTGATTCGAAGCTCACTTTCTACGTTCGTCCAAACGATGTCATGGTGTTGAAGGCGACTATCGTTCAAATGTCTGAAGACGATGTCGGATCTCTGACGTTTTCTTTCCAAACCGCGGTTTTTGTTTTCTTTGCAATATTTGTATTTATTTTCTATAGATTAATGCGGAAAAGGCTTAGAATTTTATGGAAATACTGTTTGGGTGCAAGGAACTGAACGTTTGTTGTCTCTTTTCAGTCGAGATTCATATATTCCGCTGCATTTCTGATCACGTTGTTGGTACTGGCCATGAGAAAGACGTTTTCCAGGTACAATTTTGAAACAAGAGAATCAGATTTTGAAATACTCAAATATCAGTAGTTGATTTTATGTTACTTTGAAGATGCTATTTGATGCTATCGTGTTACAGTAGTCCTTTGTACATTTTTACTCGCCGTAACTGCAAAAGAATTTGTGTTTATGTGAAATGCCTTTGAAATCGACATATGCTGTTTTTCGTTACGATGTATGGAGCTTTTTTGAACTAAACAATTAAAATTTTTAAAAACTTGTCAGTGGAACAACACTGAAACATTGTTTCATGGCGGAAGACAGCCGCAGATTTTTTTTGAACGTATTTTGTTCCTCATTGCTTTAAATATGGTGTCTGAGTTTTCCTTATATAGTTTGTTTATAGTGTTCTGCATTGGGCAGTATTTTTGAGATCATGGAGCCTAGCGACTCAATTAAGTATGTATCAATCTTGGATGGTAAAAGCCATGCTGTGCCAGAAAAGTTCAGCTACGGAACGTGTCGTTCTGTGAGCGAATTTGAAAAGCTCAATCGAATCGGTGAGGGTACTTACGGAATTGTGTACCGGGCGAAGGATACGGCTACCGGGGAGATTGTTGCGCTGAAAAAATTGCGGAATCACGATCAAAATGGTATTGCGTTGAGCAGTCTGCGCGAAATTAACATTCTCCTGGGACTGCGCCATCAGAACATTATCCAACTGAAGGACGTGGTGGTAGGCCGTGACATTTCCAGTACTTTTCTAGTCATGGAATACTGTGAACAAGATCTGGCGGTTCTGCTGGACAGCATGCAATCACCATTCTCTGAAGCGCAGGTGAAATGTATCATCATTCAGATGTTGGAAGGCCTTGCTTATCTGCACTCTAAATTTATCGTACATCGTGATCTGAAGGTTTCAAACTTACTACTCACAGATTACGGACGTCTAAAAATAGGTGACTTTGGACTAGCTAGGTATTACGGAGTTCCTGTACAGCCAATGACTCCAAAAGTGGTCACTCTTTGGTATCGGGCTCCAGAACTGCTTTTAGGAAGTAAGTATCAAAGCACTTCTATTGACATCTGGGCTGCAGGCTGCATTTTCGGTGAACTTCTTGCTCATAAACCGCTGCTACCTGGAAAATCAGAAATTCACCAGCTGGAATTGATCATAGATTTGTTAGGAACACCAAATGAGTCAATTTGGCCCGGGTTTTCTCAGCTACCCGAATTGCGATGCTTCACCCTCAGAGTTCAACGCTATAACAATCTGAATTGCATTTTTCCTCATCTGTCATCACATGGACTGAAATTGTTAAATGCGATGTTCATGTACGACCCAAAAAAACGTGCGACAGCGAAGGAATGCCTAAGACACGCGTATTTCGAAGAACATCCATTACCTTGTGATCCGAGTTTGATGCCATCATTTCCGCAGCACAGAAATTTAAAACGAAAGGACTCTGTTCCAAATAAGGAAGATCAACTACCCATCAAAATTAACAAACGAAACTTAACGAATATAAAGATCAGTGCGATGTTAAAAAATTAGTATTTTAATATTTTATTGCTTCTGTACTGCTGTAAAATTATTATTTTGTAGCAGACATGTCTTGGTTCCATGCTTAGTTCCACGAAAAATAAATTTATAGCTGTCCAATGTTTCAATCTAACTGGTATCGATCATCATGGGGAACTTACAACAGATTACGCAACTGATTAGTACTGGCCGGGTTCGTTGATGAAGCACGCTCCACGTAGCCGAAATCTTAGTTGAAGTAATGGAGCGTTGCGCATTAAGTTTCGATTGGCTGCGATGTGAAGCGATTCCTTGACTGATAACTTCATATTGTTGCAGTGTCGGTGGATTACCATTCTTAAAATCATGATAGTTATCCAGGACGTGGAAACAAATTGTCAATGTCACAATTAGCTTTCTTGTCGTTGTGTTCGTTCTTAAAGATGAAAGGATGCTGTCGATCTATCTAAATGAAATCTCACTTATTACAAACAATGTGTTTTTGATACTGACGTGAGATGAAGCTTTTTGTTTAACAAGATCCCTAATTGTCGCTCTTGTCATGAGATGTCATGAAATCCATCGTTCTTTAAACCATTATTTCATTAGGTATGCCTCGGTTATAAGACACTTAAATGGATGAATAATGGTTAAACATCAGTTGGACAATATTTGGAGGTAAGGTAGAAGTAAAAATTTTACAGAATCGTCTCTGACGAGCTTCATGTAAACATCTTTCATCTGTGTCATCCCTACAACAAATTACAGTGATCTCAGGCATGCATGTTTAGATATTGATGAAAACAGACTTATGAGTGCAGAAGTGAACCTATAAGCGCGACAAACCATGAGGTGTGCTTTAATAAAATGTAGAGTGTGTGAGTGCGCGAAGGACCGTTTGAATCAACAAGAATGCAAGCTAACTTTATCACTAGCATTGCAATTGCTATGCATTCTTGGCTGGTTACAATAGAATGCAGTGTAGTGAAGTCTGGCTGTACGAATTACCATTAAACGTTTGTTCATTTAAAATACACATCAAGCTTTAGATAGAAATTGGCTTCCAGCATCGATGTGGTTCCTTTAGGCAGAACTTCTAACCATGTGCTCAGTCACCTGCTGTCCTTTGGTTTGGATGTTATCCAATTTAAGTGACTGTTTGAATTCAACATGGACATGCAACAAAACTAAAGCCTTTAGCCTTTTGGAAATCAAGACAGAGAACTATCAGTCCTTTGCTGAGAGGGTGACATTTATTCAGTTACTCTGTCAGCGAGAGATTTGATTCCTTCATTAGCGTAGCCTAATCATGGATCGACACAGTAGTTAGAAATTTAGCCATATTTCCAACCCGTTTCATTTCACTTCCAGTCCTGGAACCAGTAACGACAAAGTTATGATTGAGACAACAAAATTGAAATATGTTAAGAATGCTAACATCTTCATCTTCCATCGCTGCTTCTCCTTTCGGGTCGCGGACGTAGACACGTCAGAAAGACCTTCCAACGTTCCCGATCCTGTGCCAGAGTCTTAGCTTCGGCAAAAGACAAATGGAGTCTGGAACAGACTCCTTCCATATATGTGCAGCATGCTAACATTTAAAATAAATTTGTAGCTTGTGTATAAATCCCTTTAAATTTTGAAGAATGCATACTGCATTGCAAACAATTCCACAAACTTAAGAAATAGCTTTATCCGCGTGTTACACTGAGTCATTCAGTTAGACAATGACTTGAGCAGACATTTACAGACGACTGCCCATGTTTCTTTACTGCTTATAAACATAAGCATAGAAATCTAACACTTGCACAATTTCAGTACCACCTGTAAGCAAGATAGTTTATTTTTTTATCCAAAGTTGCCTGATACCGCAGGTCACCCATGTTTGTATGAATG